ACTAGCATCTTATACAAAAATAAGGTAAAATACAAATATTATAAACTAGGCTATAGAATGCAAGACTATACTCCTTTGTCTAACTTACAGACTATTTATAGGCGCTGTACTACATACTCTAATAGGAACTATAAAGCGTGATTATTTGCTTGCCTAGCCTAGATTAAAGACGCAGAACACGCTACTATTATAAGGAGCTAGAAATCGCTCTTTTACTCTTCTCCCCCCTTCTTCTCTCCCTCTCCTCCTCCCCTTACCTTCTTATTTATCCCTAGCTCTTAAACATCTAATTATAGCTGCCCTCTTAACTTAGAATCACTTACAGGATAAACCCTTATAGAAGAAGGCAAAAAGAGAAAGATAACCCGTCTTATAAGTCGCTTAGCTAAAGCAGCTACTATTAATATCAACTTTAAAGCGATTCACTCCTTTATCTCTCTGATTAAGACCTCGACTCCTTCTAGCCAACTACAGACCTTAGGCACTATACCCCTTAGTATATCATAGGCTATTAGCATAATACCTGCCTACGAATCATAAGCGTTCCTTAAGGTGAATATAGAGGACTCTGATATCGAAGTCACTTGCTCTTAACCCTCTTAATAATATGCACTTTCTGAGTCCTTTAATATAATGTTAATAAATCTAGATTAAAAGTCCTTGCCTCTTTCCTCTAGGACCTAGGAATTAATACGTACAACGTGGTAGTAGTCTAGGAACTATGGCGTAACCTCGTTAGTAGCGCTATCTATAACCCGACTAATAACAGGTTCCACCTAGTTGATCTAAGAGCTAAGGAATCAAGAGTATACTACTATGTAAACAAGAGGCTCTAGTAATTAAATCTACTTAATCTATTATATACTTATCTTTAATATTATTAAATAATATATATAAAATATATAATATTATTATAGCAAGTATATTATACCTAGTTCTAACTTTCTATAGTCTATTAATAAATATCTTAAGCTTGCTCTTTATAGTATTAAGATATATAGAGCTATTAATACTTACTTATATTATATTATCTAGATTTACGTTAGTATCTTAAGGTATATAGTTATTAATATTCTTTATTAATATCTTGATAAAATTAAAATACTAAATTAATATCCTTATTTTTTATACTTTAATTAAAGTAGTAAGATAGTTATTCTAGCTTAAGCTTATTATCTATTATAATAAGTAATAGACTTTAATATATAATTTAAAGACTATTATATATATAGAGCTAGTATAATAAATTAGCAAATTAAGGCTTAGTAAAATTAGCTTATAAAAGAACTACTTTTTTAATAAAGAATAAGTTATAAAAGTATATTATTAGTAGCTACTATATACTAATTCTAGTATAGAACTACTTTATAATCCTTTTATAAGAAGGTAATTTTAACCTAATAGTTCTTAGCAATTAGATAACTTTACTTGCTATTTATATACTAGTTCTTTATATAGAGATATAGAGTTTTATATAAACTTAGAATATTTATTTAATTTGTAAGTAACATAATTATCTAAATATCACGCTAGGCAAGCCTTTTATTTTATATTATTATCCTTTATCTTATATTTAGAATTAGGGTTTCTTAATTAACCCTAAGACCTTAAGAGGATTATAGAATAATGTATAAGAATAGAGTAAGCTATTTTAAATAGATCTATTTATTATTATTAATCTTTATTAGATATAAATAAGTTTCTGCCTTATAATATATATTAATAGTGTCAAAATCAACTATAATCTCTTAGATTCGATCCTATTTAGCAAGCTTTTAAGAGTGATAATTCGACTCCTTATTAGGTATATTATCTTCAGCTTTATATAATAATTAATAAGCATTTAAGAAGTCTCTAAGAGCCTTAATTAGCTTTATTAGAGAAGCTAATCAGAGCATTTGATTAGCGTCCTCAACAGGCTATAATAGAGGGCATTGAAGGGGTTCAGTTAGCCGGTGAGGGCCCTGATAAGGCTGATAGAGAAGAGGGCTGACGCCCTGGTCCCTATGACCAGCGCGTAATCTCAAGAACAGCTATCTAGAGTCTTAAATAGGTAATTTGATAGGTCTACTGGTAACAGGAGATGATTTCTGCACGGATATCATACGGCGAGCAAGTTCATGGAATCCCCTATACGAATTTGGTGGGCCATTCCATGGCCCTGCTGCGGAGCTGAAAATTTGAATTGGCCGGATGGCTCTAACAGTCTGCCGTACACGACCCGAAGATTATCCGAACTGTACGCTCCCGTGAACTGTACGTTCGAACTGTACGCTCCGAACGCAAACCGAATATGTTCTGGTTGTTGCCTAATTATCGAACCTCAATTTCTGTTCTGACAGAAAAAAGTTCACTGATCGAACAGCTGCAGGACCGACACCCATCCTCCACACTCCCACTTTCCTATGTGCTCCCAACTGAACATTGCGATGTACTAAATATTTGTCCCTACTTCCAACTATGGGGTTGCCACCGAATGACTCATATGAGGTCGGGTGGATATGCGCTCTTTACGAGGAGTTTGCTGCCGCGCAGGCCATGCTTGATGAAGAGTATGGCATCATTCAGCACAAGGATGCCAAGGATGTTAACACCTACGCGGCGGGTCGAGTACACAAGCACAACATCGTCATTGCATGCTTGCCAGCAGGAGTTGATGGGACGACCGCTGCCGCGACAGTGGCGCAGAACATGCTGAGGACATTCCCGCAGATACGGATCGGTCTTCTCGTTGGGATCGGAGGGGGAATCCCACATCTCGAAAAGGATGTTGATATTCGCCTTGGCGACGTGGTTGTGAGTCAGCCGGATGGCGAACATGGTGGTGTGGTTCAGTATGACAAAGGGAAGATAGTGACAACGGACGAAGACCTCGGTCTGGGGTTTGTGCGGAAGGCTCATTGAACAAGCCGCCGGCACTGCTTCTGAACGCGCTCAGCATGTTACGTGCCAAGCATGAAATAGAAGAAAGCCAGATGGCCAGCTACCTGAGAAGGATGATGGAGCGGAAACCCAAAATGAAGAAGACCGGCTACGGCTTTCCCGGGAATGATCAGGATCACTTATTTGGGTTGAGACCGTATAGACTCAACGAATCACGTGCAGATACAGATACCAATGTCATCGCAACAAAAGACCTAGTGGAAGTCGTTCGACCACATCGAGGACACCAATGACCCTGAGGTCCATTACGGTATTATTGCGTCAGGAAACTCTGTTATCAAACATAGAGGTGCCAGAGATGCGCTCCGAGACAAATTTAGGGCAATGTGCGTGGAAATGGAGGCAGCAGGACTAATGGACGGCTTTCCCTGCCTGGTCATTCGCGGCATCTGCGATTATGCTGATGAGTTCAAGAACGATGCTTGGCATCGATACGCCGCCACTACAGCGGCTGCATACGCTAAAGACTTCCTCTTGTACATCTCGCCGCAACAGGTGCATGAAAGTCAACCAGCTCGGGAGGTCATAGGTGAGTCTGTTTCATCTGGTGGATAACCTGTCCTACGTGTATGCTACACGACATGCTACGGACGCCATGAGTAAGTTCCGCTCGACATCTTCACGTTGAACGAAATAGTACGTGGTCTGAACGAAACCATTGTTTGGCATCCAGAGATGACGAGTTTCGTGTCTCCGCGCATTCCTACTTTGTTTGTGCTAAAACGAGCTTGTTACGATCGATTTGACTCAGCGAGCCCTTTAGGGGCTTGACGCCAAAAGAGGTTACATTTACAGGTGGACGCCGCGTTCCATGATGTGAAAGGGGAGTGTTGACCGCTGCTGACCACAGATATAGATCATCGAACACACGAACTCCTTGGCGAAGGCATCCAGCTTCAGAAACAAGCCATCGAGGTACAACGCGAGCACTTTCAAACCGAGCGTGAACGACATTGCCACCACGCTTTTAAAACAAGTCCCTATGAAGAGTATTAAACCAACAATCTTGAGAGAGTCTCGGGCACATGCCAATGGTTGCTCAACCATAGTCAGTTTCGAGCATGGCAACAAAGCAGTCATCGTGATCTCCTGTGGATCTCGGCCGACCCGGGATGTGGCAAATCCGTCCTCGCAAAGTTTCTGGTCGATCATGAGTTTGGTGATGCAGATCAGTATAGTGTCTGCTACTTTTTCTTCAAAGACAATGAACGCCAGGACAACCTTAACACTGCTTTATGCGCCGTTCTCCACCAACTTTTTGATCACCAACCGTCACTACTGCGTCATGCGCTGCCCGCATGGGATAAGGTCCAGGACAAGATACAGCAAGAAAGTGAGGAAATGTGGCGAATTCTCCTCGCCGCGGCAGCTGACCTGTAGGCTGGACCCATCATATGCGTCCTGGACACACTTGACGAATGTCGGGACGAGGATCGACGACAGCTCATCAGTAAACTTTGTGGTTTTAACCAACGGTCATCGCCTGCGCTGTCTGGGGCTTGGCTGAAAATTTTGGTGACGAGCCGGCCGTATGACAGTGTGCAGCGCTGGTTTGAGGAGACTACATCACATCTGCCACAGATCCGGCTGCGACGAGAGGACAAGAACGACCAGATCCACGAGGAGATCAATCTGGTGATAGACCTACAGATAGACAGGCTTGCAGCTGAGTTTAGGCTTTCCGAAAATCACCAAGAGAGGCTACGACAAAGTCTACGACAGATGGAACATCGCACTTACCTCTGGCTTTATCTGGCCATGGAAGACATACGGACCACGTATCTGAACAGCCCTGATCCCGAAGAGGAGCCCACTAACACTCTCCCTAAATCAGTAGAGAGTGCATACGAACGCATATTGCAAAGAATTACCGAAAAACAGAAGTCCCAGGCGCGAAAGATCTTGCTCATCATCGTTGGTGCGCGACGCCCATTAACCATTAGCGAGATGGGCCTGGCGTTGAATGCGGCCAGCGCGCACGAACTGGGTCAATCGTATATGAAGGAGCCGAACGTGCAGCAGGAGAGACATGTCCGACAATGGTGTGGCCTCTTCGTCTTCATCAACCATTCCCAGCTCTTTCTCATCCACCAAACTGCTAAGGAGTTCCTTGTCGCACAGAGCACCAATTTCAGTTTTGTATCAGGCCGCTGGCAGTCAACATTTTCCCAGACGGAGATTAAAGGTGAAATGACGAGACTGTGTGTGGCGTACTTGTGTCTCCGTCAACAAGATCGCAGACCTATCGACGAAGACCGGCAGGGTTACAAGCGCGCCAACACCATAGTCACAGTGATCCCATCATCAACTTGGGAAGAGCAGAACAAATTCTTTGAATATTGTGCTGAGCATTGGACATCGCATCTAAGAGAGGATGTTGTTACCAAAGACTGGAAAGTACTAGATCGAGTCTTACTCTTATACAAAACAGATACAGATCAATTTCATGCATGGTTTCCCATTATGTGGAAGGCACTTTACCCATATAAATCGACGGCGGAAGTACAGATTCAACATGTGGTTTCCATGAGTGGTCACGCGTTCGTCCTTAATGAAATCTTTCACAAGGCTATATTCGAGTTGGAGGCACAGGATAGCACTGGTAGAACAGCATTACATTGGGCGGCTGAAAGAGGTCATGGAGCTGTGGTGGATTATCTTATCAAATTAAGAGCCAACGTCAATGCTCAAGGTGGAGAGTATGGCAATTCTCTACAGGCAGCATCATCAAGAGGTCACAAGAAGGTGGTGGAGATGTTGCTAGCCAAGGGCGCAGAGGTGAATGCTCAAGGTGGAGAGTATAGCAATGCTCTACAGGCGGCATCATCAAGAGGTCACGAGAAGGTGGTGGAGATGTTGCAAAAACAGTAGCTATTGACCACCTTAAGGATACAGACTTTAAAACGGTCAAATTATACCGACTTTGGACCAGTCTCACTGAAGGTCGATTGCTCTCGAAGAAGACGATGATGGATATGCCTGCTTATGCATAGTAATCCAGAAAGTGCTGTTAGGTTCTGTACAGATCAAAGACTCGGGTGGAGTCCAATTTCCTTGCGGAACCTCCATCGATCTGAGGCACCAATAAAATCCCTTTAGATGGCAATAGCATTGTCCGTTGTTCGGATTGTACAATCTTTTAGTATCTCACGAATCTAGATAAGTATATTGAAGTATCCCTCTACGCTCCTTTCAGAGCAGCATCTCACCATTACTCGCTATCTCAACGACGTCCTTTACAAAAGTGCGAAAAGCTTCGACCTCACTTTTGAGGCGCCTTACGCCCTCCCTCGTATCATTGAGGCCGACACTTACTCCTCATGAAAGGCTAGTGTCTTGTCAGCTGCTTGGATGGCCGCGATAACACTTGTTAGTGACGAGGACTGCTAGAGATACAATAGGATAATTATTTGGAGGGGCTCTGAAACGTTTTTGCATTTAAACTTTTGCACTGGTGCTGTATGCTGCTGCCTGGTACATTGACCACGAATGCCGCCGAGTGATCGGCGATCGTCTTGTAGAGGATGTCGGGAGGTGAGATGGCTGACACAGGCAAGTTCTTGTCTACGACCCGTTAAGCTTCGTCTTAGGTACTCTCGCTTTGTCTGACTTCGAGCCTCGCAGGAATCAAAAACCGTGCGAGGACTACACTGATGTCTTCCTCAGTGACGCGCATGTCTACACTTTTGCCGAGAAGTACAACATAGACTTTTTGAGGAGATGAAATTTAGGATTAGTCGGCGTGCTGAAAATAATACTAGTTGCTGACATTGTGCGCTAGTATCTGGATCGTAAGGATCAGGCTGCGTGCTGAGACTGCGACTAGGGAAAAGAAAGTCTATCGATAGGGAGCCACGAGCTGCGAAAAAGGTCAAGATCCAACAGTCAAACATCGAAGCTCAGAGAAGAGTACGAAGCGAAACACGATCCACCAGATGCAGATTCAAGTCAAAAGAATGCACAAGCAGAGGTGTAAAAGAACCGCATATTCAGCTGCCTGGTCATCTCGCCTGCCGGACGGACGATCAAAGAATTTCGATCAGATAAGGAGTTGTTGACCGCACTGCGCGATGCGACTAAAGCAAACACGGATTGACAAGTTTAGTACCTCTTTAAAATAGCCATGGCTGGAAACCAGCATCATATGGCGCTCCAATATCCTTTGCCTCCTCCTCGGTACGTCCATCCTTGCGGAAAGAAAAATAATCACAGGATCCTGTCGCGCAAGTCCAGAATCCACAACCTGGACGGGAAGATCCCACCCCAGCCCGGTCCTGGCGACACACAACTCCGCAGTCACAATTTTGGTTGCTTGGATGAACACCACGACCATCATCCCAACTAATCCATCCTTTTTGATGATCGCTCTTCGACAATCTGTATTTTGGGTCCTTGTTGCACTTGATGCAAATGTAGTATGGTCGACTGACATTCCCATTTTGATTGCCCGGTAAGACTGTTTTATGATATCGTGGTACCCAGCCACATCGACGGCATGAAGGCTTGGTCTCCATTGGAAATGTAGGCTGCAAAGTGGTAACCCGTCCGCCTTGCAAAGAGAGAGACTCAAAGAGGTCTAATAATTCAGTAGAAGACATTCTCTTCTGCGTATGGGCCAATATACGGGTACCGGGAAAATCTGTGGTAGGTAGGAGTGAAGGCACAACAATATTAAGGGGAGCTATAAAGTGGCGATAGAGCGACGGCCAAGCGCAGTAGTTCTAGATTGACAGAAATTAACCTTTAAGGAGAACTTCTCAAGATGAGCCAAACTTATGTGGGAAACGGCGATACGGAGTGTCACCTAAGTGCTCTCTGCCCTGATTCAAAATGCCAACGCATATCAGATATCCACCAATCCGATGTCGGTTGCACCAACTCATTGTGCGTTTGATGCCACGTCACACGCAGACAGCCTTATTTTGACACTCGTTCGATTCAGAGCAGGTAGGAAAACTAACTGCGCCGTCTGGTTAAAAGTGAAGGGAACAGCCCCGCACGGCTCAGTCATGGTCATCCTTACCGGGCATAGACCAATTGGCACAAGAAGCAGGTATTTGATTGATGATGTTCTGAGGTCTGGGGTAGGTTTGCTTTGCTTCATATATACGCTTGAGCGTACATCACATCATCCTGATCAACCTTTGCTTTGGTGTTAGGGCCACACACTCGCTTATATTTATCTCCCCGCACGTCCTGCCTCTAAACCTGCGATTCGTCCGGATGCGCCGGCTACAAAAAGTAACGCTCCTTTTCGTCCACTTGCTCCTCTCGACCTCCTTTCGTCTCCTGGCCTTCTTCGTTTGGTTGTGTCCGCTTTGGCTTGGTTTCTTGATGACTGTGTGCCAATCATAGTCTTATTTTCTGCAGCAGAGCTGCGCCATCCGCATGGTACTCTCTCGGTGGATCCTATGGGGAATTCGGGGAATCTCTATGGGGGAGTTGCTTGGGGGAGTGCTAGCGAAATGCCGTGCAGAGGCATCTTTTCTTTCTTTTCTTTCGTTTTGTACCCACGCCGATGCCAATGCTATTTTGCGTACGACCCACACGTCCGAGTGGGAGTGTCGAAGCCAATGGCTGATACGGCCCTGTCTAGCACGCACATAGCACGGCCATTAGAGAGCCTCGAGATCGTTGGTTGAATGTGCCAGTAAAGGCCAGACGTGGCAGTAGACCGGCCAGAAAGGAACGCGTAACGTTGGCAGTAGATGAGAATCCTGCTCGAAACACGAGTGACGGAGATCAGAGAGATGACAGATTGCCAAGAGATGTTGTTCTGTGGGACCATGAAGACGACGTAGGGACACAGCGTACAGTTTACCACAAATTAAGCTTTAGACTACCTTTTTATGAGACGGCGTCTGAAGGAGATACTAGCTGATAGTTCATTGATACCTACTTCAGAGATGTACGGATAGGAAAATTCAGTGCTGCCCAGTCCTCTGATGAATGATCACTTCCCCGGCTAGTCCTTCTAGTAGTGTTCCTCTTAATCGGTTCCCCGAGTTTGGGCAGCTCTAACAAATCAAATGACGTCGGCTGAGAGGTGACAATGATTTTGATGATGTCGTTGCACTGACGGTGACCTTTCTCCCTCATCTCAGCTGGGACTGACATTTTAAGCTTCTTTCTTAACATTCCTGTAAATCCTGAGCCACTTTCCAGTGAAGGAATGGCTTCGTAACTCCCACTGTAAATGTTCCGTACTTGCTAACAAGGACTTAAATTATAGATGTAAACGTAAAGGTCATTGTTTCCTTTATTTGCCGCTTGTAACTCTAATGTAAACTTCGTTTCGTCATCCTGTTCCACTTCTACCACACGTCCGGGATCAAATAACTCTCCAGAACTAATAATGTGGACCTCAAAAGACTCCTGAAAAGGATCCACGGGTACTTTGTTAGCCAGATCTTTAACAAGGTTATACCTAATTAAATGCTCTATAATATTACAAACATCGCTAATATCCATTCGATCCTGCGATATAATAGGTAAATTGAGAATCTTCTGATCAAATTCATTCAGGATCTCGTACTCCTTATTGCTGTTCAAAATTATATAGAATAAATAAGGAGGTTTGTCCATGTCGATATAAAAACCAAGTGATCGTTGTTTCAAAGCCGTCCGCCATTCATTCTGATGTAGAAGGCCAATGTTAATTCGTATTAGGGATCTCTGAACGGAGGATCTAGTAAGAGCGGTCGCAAGCCATCCTGTCTTAGGATTAAGGGTTGTCTCGTCTAGTCGCTTTAGTTCTGCCGTAAAAGCTCTAGCATGCACAACTCTGGCAAACACTGAGTCTCCTTGTGATCTAGGGTCACATTTCGCTGAAGCCAAGGGACACAAAGCAAACTGGTCATTATCAGAAACACCATGTGCCTGGCCGGCTAGTAGTTCAAGGCTGCCGTCCTGTTTTACGACAATCAGAACAGTTTCCACAGTAATTTCTGCGTTCGCGTGTCCGAAGAAGCCTTGGCCCTTGTTCCCATAAAGGGCGGGGTTTTGAGGCAGCGTGGACTTCTGGAATGCGGCACGCAGGTGGTCGTAGATGTCCTTATGTTTCTTTGTGAGGCCTTCGCGCTCTTTCAGGGTCTTAAGAAGAAAATATGATAATGCTCCATGGCTCTGCCCGTCGGCTTTGAGCTCAATTGCCTCTTTATGAGAATCACATGCGACAAGTATTGCGTAACCATCAGGGTCGATAAGCCAATTGGGGCGCATACATGCATCTCGGCTTGCTGGATAACAAGTTTCATCTCTCAGGCTTATCTCAGGGTCTAGTAGGTATCTTGAACCGATCTCAGCATGGTAAGGAAGAAAGCAGATGATGGGATCATCCCGGCGGTAGACACTTGCAGAGAAACAACAGTCGAGAACAAGAGTGAGCACTAGTCCCTTGTTGACCATGGCCTCTAATGAGAAGGCCAGTCTCGGGCCCCAGAGATATTGCACTTCCTTCCCTTCATTGAGCAAAACCAATGCCAAATCTCCTGTGGACTTGTTAGAGAACGCTCGAGTGCCGTGTCCAGAATAGTGGATATAGACGAAATCTCCAGGTTTGGCCAAAGAGATTATCGTATCGAAGGCCGAGGTCACATTGTCGTAAGTTGGCCAGATCATCGAATCTTTAATTGGACTAGATGACTCTGGATCGGCGCTCTCAGTTGCCGTGAAAATCTGTAGGTGAAGAGGATCCAACACGCTTTCCAGATATCCCTTGATAGCTTGGACATCCCGCACGCAACCTTTCAGGGCCTTGTCCTGATAGGCGTTGATCCCGATTAAAATCGCATAATGCGTGAAGGGAGTGTGTTGAACATTCATTACTGTATATTTTGAGTAGCGGGGCGTGTTGGGGAAGCTGATGGTCAGTGACAAGAAAGAGCAACCAACCCAGAACGTGAGAGCAGGTTGAGACACGCACTGCGGTTTGCTGAGAGGAGCCAAGACTTCGGAAGGAGTGAAGAGGGATCAAAGCACGTCTGCAAGTCGATTGTGAGGCAAAATCGGCCTTGGCTCCAGAAGTGAAGTAAAATCTGCTCCGCACTCACCTCGACTCTCACCCCCTCGCCGCCGCTTTTATCACCCCAGCTCACCCACGACTCACCCACCGCTCAGCGCTCCCGGGTGATTCGTGGGTGAGCGCTGCATGATCCTGCATCACGACGGTTTCTCGTCTACGGTCTCCAACGGCCGTTCAGCGCCACCCTGTTCCGTCAAGAGGGAGGGGGGTCTATTTTACGACCCCCCCCTCGAAAACCAACCCAAAGACAAGGTGAGACCTCTTCTCCTTCTCTGCCCAACCTTTCCCTCTCTTCCTCCTTTCCTCCCTCCCTCCCTTCCTGCCTGACCGATCATACGGTCGAAGGACTATCTCTACATTCTCTAGCACTCATACACTCGCAAAGAAAGACGGCCCACTTACGGCTCCCGAAAATCCGCCTCCTCGCTCTCTCATCTCCCTGCTCTCTCTGCTCTCCTCGCCGTCCGTCTGGGCCCGCGATCGTCTATGAGACACAATCTTCAGTCCAGAATCTCCTCAAGCGCCACAACTTCCTTTGGCTGGTATGAAGGGCCGCCAGACCACCGCGACGGACCTGATCGCCCAGGCCGCGGCGAACGGTTACAAGAGGGGAGCACACAAGGAACAAGATAAGACCCGTCACCGGAAAATGCACGTCAAGAAGACCACAAGTGATCAAGATGCTACATTGAATGGCTTGGTGGAGAGCAACCATATGATCTCAACTCGTGGCAGGAATCAGAAACAGCACTTGCCCTAGCAGAGACGCTTGACGAAGATGCGGTTATCGTTGAGGGCTATGCAGAGTACGCGACATGGAGACCTCATCTAGCCTACCTCAGGGATCCTTATGGAGACCTCTTTTATTATATAACCTAAAAAGCTTATTACTATAGGCCTTAATAATTCCTAAGAGAATAGCCTTAATAAAGAAGTTATAACATATTAGATACTAAAACTCTATTAATCCTATAATATAATATATAAAAGAAGAGGATAGGCATTATAATCTCACTCTTTAAAGATAACTATATTCTTAACTATAACATTATAGCTATTCAGGAGCTATAGTGTAACCTACAAATATATATCTTACTTAATACTTATAAAAGGGGCTTTACTCTACTTTACAACTTAAGAGAAGATACTAGTATATGCTTTTATATTAAAGATAACATAGATATTAATAACTAAGAGGTCTACTACAAATCTCCGAAGCAGGTAGCAGCAGAAACAAAGGAAGCAGCAGAGAGAACGGCTGCGGAGGAAAAGACAGAACAGGCAGAGCAAGCAGGGCAGAAGATTCAACCTCCTGATACTGCTTCAACATCCGAGGAGAGTGTCAAAGTAAAACGGCCACTGGGTAAGAAAGCTTCCAGCGACTGAGCTTGTTAGTTTACATGCATCTTCAACGGCGTTCGGCATCGCTGGGTGTGATAAGGCCTGGTCGACAGAAGGAGTTCCTCTGCAACGAGTAAATCTAGGAATCCATGAATCTATGCTTGCGAAACGCGCCGTCGACGCCGTTTCATGTAAATGACAAACCTTGCTGGTGGTGAATCGCATTGATCGACATCACATATGCAGGTAATTACTCCGTACCAGGTACGGCAGACTGTTAGAGCCATCCGGCCAATTCAAATTTTCAGCTCCGCAGCAGGGCCATGGAATGGCCCACCAAATTCGTATAGGGGATTCCATGAACTTGCTCGCCGTATGATATCCGTGCAGAAATCATCTCCTGTTACCAGTAGACCTATCAAATTACCTATTTAAGACTCTAGATAGCTGTTCTTGAGATTACACGCTGGTCATAAGGACCAGGGCGTCAGCCCTCTTCTCTATCAGCCTCATCAGGGCCCTTACCGGCCAACTGAACCCCTTTAATGCCCTCTATTGTAGCTTGTTGAGGACGCTAATTAAATGCTCTAATTAGCTTCTCTAACAGAGCTAATTAAGGCTTTCAGAGACTTCTTAAATGCTTATTAATTATTATACAAAGCTAGAGATAATATGCCTGATAAGGAGTTGAATTGTCACTCTTAGAAGCTTGCTAAATAAGATCGAATCTAAGAGATTATAGTTGATTTTAACACTATTAATATGTGTTAAAAGGCAGAAACTTAGCTATATCTAATAAAGATTAATAATAATAGATAGATCTATCTAAAATAGCTTACTCTATTCTTATATATTATTCTATAATCCTCTTAAGGTCTTAGGGTTAATTAAGAAACCCTAATTCTAAATATAAGATAAAGGATAATAATATAGAATAAAAGACTTGTCTAGCGTGACGTTTAAATAGTTATATTACTTATAAATTAAATAAATATTCTAAGTTTGTATAAAACTTTATATCTTTATATAAAGAACTAATATATAGATAGCAAGTAAAGCTATTTAATTACTAAGAATTATTAGATTAAAATTATCTTTTTATAAAAGGATTACAAAGTAGTTCTGTATTAAAATTAGTATATAGTAGCTATTAATAACATATTTTTATAACTTACTCTTTATTAAAAAAGTAATCTTTTTATAAGCTAATTTTATTAAGTCTTAATTTATTAATTTATTATACTAGCTTTATATATATAATAGTCTTTAAAATTATATATTAAAGTTTATTACTTATTATAATAAATAATAAGTTTAAGCTAGAATAATTATCTTATTATTATAATTAAAGTATAAAAAATAAGGATATTAATTTAGTATTTTGATTATATTAAAATATTAATAAAGAATATTAATAGCTATATACTCTAAGACAGGTTTAAATCTGAGCAGACTACTTAATAAAGAAAGAGAATAATAATAATAGTAATACGCAAGTGTTATACATATTATACGAAGCACAGGAGCTGCTAAAGGAAGGAAGGGGGCAGGACGCTAGAGGCGCCTAAGATGAAGAGAGACTAACGAGATCCACTAAAGCGATCCTCCAAAGTATAAAGGACAGGCTAACAAAGATCAAGGAACAGAAACTACCTCAGGCGAACCCTTACTGGGAAGCACGCCCTCTGAAAGCGTTATATGCTACAGCGGCGAAGCGAAATATAGCTGACAACAGGACACAGTACTCCCTAAGACCCATCGCCTCTTATTACCTAGCACAGATAGGTAACACCCCTAGAAAAGAGGAATGAAATAGAGAAGCGTATAGTATGTAAGAGGGAAGCAAAGGAATTAGTAGAAAGGATTAAGAAAGCGGCCTCTAGACTTATAAGGGTGAACAGAATAGGAAATAGGGACATTAAGGTTATAGCCTTATCTAAAGAAGCAAAAGCTGCCTTTCTAAAAGATATAGAATAGATTAAGGCAATAAGGACTTTAGCAGCACTTTAGTAACGTATCTTTATAGTTATAATATATAACATCTAAATAAATAAGGTAAACATAAGAGATTAAAAGACTATAGGCGCTTAATAGCAACCTATATAAAGACATCAAGATTATTAAGATAGACTAGTTAGCTAAGGTGATTAAAGACAAGAAGACCTTTTCCTTATTCCTAATTAAGGTAGAAACTACTAAGATAGCAAACTAAATATTAACTAAAGAGTTTATAATTAATTATAAGCTTAAGCATTATAAATAGTTTATATATAGCCCTTTAACCTAGTATTATAATTATTAAGGTTATAGATACTTAAGCAAGTAGTATAAATAACTTATATATTATAAGTACTATATAGCTCTTTATAACACTAAGGAGTATCCTAATAAAGAGGCTATAAATTACTATTATTATATAGTCTATATAGTGCTAGGGCACTAAGCATAATCGCCCTATTATAAGGTAAGACAGGCTAAGAAATTACGTCTAATTAAGAATAAATAACTAAGGACTTAACCTTATTAAAATGCCTTGTCCTTTACAGAGCCTTAGAACACTCTAACAGGGGCTACTAAGCGTATAAGTCCTGTTAGCGACTTAATAGACTCTAGCTATAATAGTGGCATAATAATATCCTTAACTCTGCTAATAAAGCGCCTAAGAAGTAATAGCCTTTAGCGCCTTATAGACGCTAAATCTAAGGATAAGGCCTTTGCTAAAGCTAAATATAGCTGTCTGCCTAAAAAGCTTATTACTATAGGCCTTAATAATTCCTAAGAGAATAGCCTTAATAAAGAAGTTATAACATATTAGATACTAAAACTCTATTAATCCTATAATATAATATATAAAAGAAGAGGATAGGCATTATAATCTCACTCTTTAAAGATAACTATATTCTTAACTATAACATTATAGCTATTCAGGAGCTATAGTGTAACCTACAAATATATATCTTACTTAATACTTATAAAAGGGGCTTTACTCTACTTTACAACTTAAGAGAAGATACTAGTATATGCTTTTATATTAAAGATAACATAGATATTAATAACTAAGAGGTCTATTACAAATCTCCTAATATTATATTACTAGTAATTTAAACACGTTTTAATAGCAAACTAATAATAATATATATTTATAACATGTATACTCTACAAGGAAGGATGCCTATTACAGGGATATTCGGGCTCATAAGAGATAGTAGGTTACTCGCCTTATACTTAGTAATAGAGGCGCTCTCTATAATATTAACGCTTTATAACCTTCTAGTTAGGCCAGAAAAGCATGTCTTACTAAGAGATTTTAACTTATATTATCTATATTAGAGCAGAACCTTGTGTAATACTAAGTATAAAGTAGTAGAACAATTAATTAATCTTATTACTAATATTAAACTAGAACTAGTTCTTCCCTTAGGCATCATCATCTAAGAGGCAAGGGGCCTTTGCTTAATTA